AAAAAAAAAAAAAAAAAAAAAAAAAACACTAACAACTATGACCTTGGTCCTGTCCTCCTCTACTGTTTGTTTGTAGGTACTGGTTGTCTCCAGTCCCGATTGGTTCAGTTCAGACTGCAACCCAGAGGAAAGAAGAAGACACATCTCCTCCTTGATTACTTTGTCCAGCCCGGGACCGCATGCTTTCTTGTTGTGCGTGCCTGTGAACCAGCCGGCTGATGGCGAAACCAAAGCACTTGATGTCCTGGAGAATCTGTTAGGCCCCTCCGTGGTCAGCGGAAACACCATCATCCTCTTCACCAACATGGATGAGCTTGAGGAGGACGAGAAACTGGAGGATTACCTCGTCACGTGGCGCAAGGACCTCCGCACGCTGCTGGAAAGATGTGGCGGTCGATATCACACCCTGGAGACCCGGACTGGAGAATCGGAGGAGAGCAAAGCCGTTGAGGAGCTGCTCGAGAAAGTTGAGCAGGTGGTGAAAGAGAGCGAGGCTCAGTACTTTAGCTGCCCTCTGTACCAGGAAGTTAGTGAACAAGTGAGGAAGAGGCAGCTGGAAATAGTGAGACGAAGGATGGAGGAAGCACATGGTGACCCTTCTTCCATTGCACACTCAGAGGTGACTGATGACGACATGGAGGCAGTCCTGGAAGAGGCAGAAAGAAGCATCGGAGTTCTAAATTTGGACTTAGATCATGTTTTCCCCTCTTCCAGCATCTCACCTTCCTCTCCAGTCGCGTTGTCTTTCCGAGCCTTGTGGGACAAACTGGTGGGATGGTTAAAGTGGCTGCCCACTCTGGTGAGAAGGGAGGCCTTGCTTGGAGCTCTGGTCGGGCTCTTTGTTGGTGGGCCCGTTGGAGGCATGGTGGGTGCCACTGTGGGCTCAGTTGCTACAGAAGTGGGCAGGAGAAAAGCGCAGAAAGCAAAATAATGCTGATCATACGAGTGGACGCTGTGTCTTTTATGCCTTCGTTTGCACCTTAAAATCTCTTCACTGTGCTGCTAAGCTAACCAGCTCACATGACCTGCTGCTGTATGGAAACCAGCTTCTCATGACACACTCTATATGTCATTGCTTCTTTCCCGGTGAAAAAAAAAGGCAATTAATAAAAGCAGTTTGGTTTGCCCTGTTCGAGTTTCAAGCTCAG